CATGCTGACTTCATGCTGAAAACAGGGCTAGTCTTCACTGAAGATGTGGTAGAAGTGCAAACTGTGTCTCTCTAGATCTGTTCTCTTTCGTCTGTGAGCGTCTCTCCATTTCTTTCTCTGGACGGGAAGCCTTCCTTTTCTGCCTAGCAAACTTGTATTCATCCTCTATTGTCAGCAGTGAAATTTCTGCAGCAAATATCACAAGTCTCTATGGTATCCTGTTTTACACACATTCAAGATGTGTGTAAAGTATTTGATAATCAATATACTGCAAGGCCAGTCTCATCCCCCCACTGCAGCCAGCAGCATTTTCACCTTTGGTATTTTCCATCCATCCAGCTCTGGTGGTCTAGTGGTTAAGATTCAGGGCTCTCACTAGCGCGGGTTCGTTTTCAGGTCAGGGGCCTGCACCACCTGTCTGTCAGTTGTCATACTGTGATGGCTGCGTATTGCTGTGATGCTTAAAGCTATGCCATCAGTATTTCAGATACCATCAGGGTCACCCATGGTGGACAGGTTTCAGTGGAACTTCCAGACTAAGACAGACCAGGAAGAAGGACCTGGCCACTCACTTCCAAAAAAATTGACCATGAAAACCCTGTGAATAACAGCAGACCATTGTCTGATATAGCGGAAAGGTGAGAGGATGGCACAAAAAACCAGGCAGGGTTCAACTGTGCTGTACACAGGGTCTCTAGGAATCAGAATCAACTTGACAGCAGTAACAACAAATTTTCCCTCCGGAGCCCCTGTGCTGCCTATACCAGTCAACCCTTTTGATGTCCACAGATGTTATCAACCTTAGCCAGTTTCCTCCTGCATGTACCTCAGGCAACTTCTCTGTCAAGTTTTGTTGTGTGTATACAGCTTATAATGATATATTATTATTCGTTCTATGCTCCTGTCATTCTTTCTAATAACGTAGCTAAACCTCCAAATATTATACTCATGGTTTTTGCTTCCAGAGTCCTATGACCCTTTACAAAGACCAAATGTCGCCTCTTCCATGAAGCCTTCTTTGGCGAAATTAGCTGCTTATGTGCTCTTCTCCCAGACTTTGATCCTGCCTCTGTAAAGTCACTTATAAGGAATTATATTTGACATTGTGTTCTCTTTCATCTTGGGACACCCTAAAAGTAGAGCCCACAGTACTTGTGTGTGACTGATGCTCAATGCCATGGGTACATAGTAGATGTTTGCTGAAAGTTGAATGGATGAGCGTAAGAATGAGTAAATTCAGGGAAGGTTAAAAAAAGATAAAGGAAGACAATAACTTGTTGAGGAAGTGATGTAAGGAGTAGTGAGTGGTGGAATGCCTCAAATGGTTATTTCAGCTGTTGTTTGTTGAAATAGAAAAACTTGTGAAATTATGCTTCCCCAGCCCAGGGATACCGGGAGAAAGAATGATCTCAGCCAGGGTGACAGTTCTTAGTATTGACAGATGTACCCAGAGCTGCTCTGCAGTTCCCGTGCTTGAAGGTAAACGAAGGGAGGAAGAGGATTTGGTCCAACTGCACTGGATGCTTTTGCTGGCGAATCAGTGGCTGTTATTCTACACTGTGTGGACAGAGAATGTGTGTCTTATTTTATTATTTTATTTTGCTCTTCAACAAAGAGTGATTCTTTCCTACCTCTTTGAATAAATGAGGTCAGCCAACCAACGCATGGTTCCTTAATATCTTCTGTGTTCTAAGCACTCTTGAAAAATTAGGGGGAAAAATAAAAAAGACAAGACTCTCTCCCTTTAAGGAGATTGTAGTCCAAATAAAATGTATTTTTAGCTGTTCAGCCTTAAAAAAAAATTTAAAGTGAAAATCACTTACAGTCTCAGCACTTAAAACACTTGGTGAGTTGACCTGTCTTTTGTCAAGGCCTAGAGAGACAATGAGAATCCACTAGCAATGAGTACTCCTAGCCTCCAGATTCTGATCTCTAAACACCATTTCTCACTAAGAGGATCCAGGGCTCCTTGGAGAAATGGTTTGATTCTAGAGCTGGGGCTGGAAATGAGCCAGAAAGATAACAAGCTATTGATGAATAATGGGGTCTTACCTAAAGGACACAGGAACCGACCTGAATGGGCCCCCACTGGCCAAAGATGGGACAATTTGAACATCAAAAAAGAATGAGATGGCAACCAATTGAAACACCAGATATATGAAAATGCCCCAGTTCATAATGATGCTAAGTAATATGTGACTCACTGGTCATCACTGGAGGTGGCTGGGGCACCAGTTCTCTACTCCAGTAAGTAAAGAGAAAGACCCAACCATTCGTTAACCCTCCTTTCTGTGTTTCAGGATAACCAAATGGCTCATGTAGAAAAAATCCTTCCTGGGGCTGGCCTGGTGGCGTAGTGGTTAAGTTCATGTACTCTGCTTTGGTGGCCCAGGGTTCACAGGTTTGGATCCCAGGCATGGACCTAGCACCACTAGTCAAGCCATGCTGTGGCAGCATCCCACATAAAATAGAGGAAGATTGGCACAGATGTTAGCTCCGGGCCAATCTTCCTCAAACAACAACAACAAAACAAAAACAAAACAAAAACAAAAAAAGAAGAAGAAAAAATCCTTCCTTACTATTTTGTAATCCTTGATAAGATAATAGATCTGGGCAACAATGTATAGCAGATGCTCAAATCCATTAGGAGAAAGGTCGATAGGAACTTTCTAATGGATGGATCACACTAACAATTGAACGTAAGCATTTAACTCTGGAGACTCCACTAAAATGATACCAAAGTCGTCAGCCGGTGGGAAAGCTGAGAGGCATTCCAAGTTCCTGTGCCCTGTAGAAGCTCCAGAAAGCAGTAGGCACTCTGGATGGGAGTGTGATGAGAGCAGTAGAAGTAGGAGAAGTTGCTGAGAGTCATCTCATGAATTGGTTATATCCTCAGATCTCCTCCTCTGCTCCTGGAGCAGGTGGCTGTCCCTCTTCCACCCCAGCAGAAGATTGGTATTTCACCTGATGGCAATTGAAAAGTCACCAGGCACAGCTGGAGAGGAGGGCCCCACCCAAATCAAGGGGAATAAGTGAATATTGAGATGTTCATCCCTTCACTTGGCTTCCATAGAACTCTGAGAATGCCCACAGCCAGGCTTGTACCCCACGGAGGCAATTCTTCCATGGAAAAACTACCAGACCAAAAGAAAAGGCCCCAAGCAGAAGCACAGTAGGATCCCTAATGAACCAGCACAGCAGGAGTGCCATGCGGTGAAGCCCATAGCCGCTGGGCCCCACTCATGTGCGTTATTCATGTGCGTTATAGTACTCAATGTGTACACTCTTGTCTCTATAGAAAAGCCATTCGCAGCTAAGCTGAGTAATATACCACAGGTACTTTTCCTTCTTGGGTAGCTTTGCAAGTGCATTAGGCATCACAAATGAATTCATTTCCGTCTTCATTTTGGCAGTGTTTACTGAGAGAGCATAATTCAGCTTAATAAGATATCTAAACCATGAGCACTCTGCCTAATAGGCAAATTAGGTCATTTGCATGCTATCAGCTGCAGCTCTTTGGCAGATTTATCATCTATAAATTGAAGGTGATTTGATTATTGAAATAATTTTGTTCATGTTGCAGATTAACATTACTGTATTGTATTCAAAATTAATTCTGGTCGCATTTCTGCCCTCCTGCTCTCTAGAGAATGATGCTTGGACACAGAAAACTCCTGTGGCAGCAGTTTGCCCCTTTCTGTGTGTGCCTGAGATCTATGAAGTCCTTGGCTGGATATTTGTTGTTTATGGTCACCAGTCTTAGTGGAGCGCTTGGCCTCACTTTGTGGCCATTTACTCTTTCTCTGTCGACTTTCTCCCATTTCCTTCAGTGCAATTGCATGGTAATGATTACAGTTAGCAATTGTTTCACTGTTCTCAGTGCTCATCTGTACCAGTCACTGTTTTCTGATGTGTTATCTCATTTGATCCTTAGCAATTCCTTAGTTAGGAAGTTAAGGCTCAGAAAGGCTGAACCGCTTCCCCTAAGGTGGTCACACACAGACAGGGAGAGACCTAGAAAGTGTCTGTTTATTGGGACCTGGTCTAACTCCGTTGCCCTAGGTCGCCCGGATGGTTGTGTCCTCCCATTACTCTTCTCCCCAAGTCCTCCATCTCTCCAGTTGGCAGTGACGGAGAAAGTAGAGGCCTGGAGGGAACTCCCTTTCCCACACCCATCCCAATTCCTAACTTTCCTCCTTCTTCTAAACAGCGTAGGGAGAAGACCGCAGACTTACTGCCAGACACACCATCTTTGACAAGCGGTTTAACTTCATTTGGTCTTAGTTTTTTCATTTGCAAAATGGGCACAGTAATGGCTGCCTTCCTGAGTTAGTACGAGTTTTAGCGCAGGAAAGTCTCTTGAGCTCTGGAGTGTTATAGAGTCTGTGAGCGTGTGTCTAGAGCACGTCCTAGACAATGAGCAAGCGTTATTTATTATTACCTATGTCCTGTCTTCTTCCCTCCTAGTGAAAGGGATGGGGACGGGGTGAGAAAGACAGTCTTACCTCACAAAGCTCTATTTTTATACCAAAAACGTTGACTTGTGGTTGTTCACTTAAATATCTATTATACAGATGGACTATAAAACCCTTGGGGACAGGGCCTGGCATTTGTCTTGGTACCTAGTAATTGCTGGAAAAATATTTAAATAATAAACTGATTCTCCAGTCCTGCCTGCCTATTGACTTTCTTGGAATTTGGTAAGGATTTATTCTGTTGGAAAATGAAATCTCCTAGGAGATCGTAACTTAATTTCCTTTTTATCCATAGGTCCTTAAAGGGAGCAGCTGCTAGTGAGTATTTGAATAAATTGAATAAAGCTTCTACTTTTTGTTTCTTGTGGTCACTGCTTCTTTATTTCTGTCAGAAGATTAGACTCATTGGGCTGTCAGGGGTTGGGTAGAGAATTTTATTTTTGCTCAAAACAAAAGAAAATCCAGAAGGCTCTCACTTTTGCTTTTGTTTAATTAGCCTTTATTTTGTTTTTATTTTCTCTTCAGAAAAGAAAGACGTGACTCAAAGCCTGGAGAACTATACGTCCAAATGTCCTGGGACGATGGAACTCATCACTCTCCCAGATGGCCTCGTGCTGCCTCCGGTGCCCTTCACCAAACTGCCCATCGTCAGGTAGGACAGACCCTTCTGGAATGCGAAGGGTGCCCTGTGCTCCAGAACGTTTCCCTTCAGTCTGATAGTGAAGGTGGGTCTTCAGAAGCATTTTCATTTTTTTTTTTTTAAAGATTTTATTTTTTCCTTTTTCTCCCCAACGCCCCCCGGTACATAGTTGTGTATTCTTCGTTGTGGGTTCTTCTAGTTGTGGCATGTAGGACGCTGCCTCAGCGTGGTCTGATGAGCAGTGCCATGCCCGCGCCCAGGATTCGAACCAACGAAACACTGGGCCGCCTGCAGCGGAGCGCGCGAACCTAACCACTCGGCCACGGGGCCAGCCCCAGAAGCATTTTCATTTTTTGTTGGCTATGTATGTGGTCCAATACCTCATGAAATCTCAGCAGCCGCCCTATGAGGTGTGAGTATTTTATAGACGGGAGAGTCAAGGCCAGTGCCTTACGTAACTGCCATAGTCGTGTGCCTGTCAGATGGCAGAGCCAGATGCAAACCCCTGTCTGTCTGCTTCCAAAGCCCGCGTCCTGAGCGCTCTGCTGTGATTGAAACAAACTCAACCTGTCACTCTTCTCCTCACAAGCTTCCAGCAGTTCCCCGTTTTCCTAGACTGGGATCCCTCACAACACAGCACAGCTCTTCGGACAGACCAGGCGCCTTCCCACTCGTGTGCCTCTGCTCCTGTTCCACCCTCTCCCTGGAGTTCATCTTTCTTCTCCCTGACTTTATTCTTTCCTGATACTTCCTCCTGCTGTCACCACCCTGCCGTTGGTTACAAGAGACTTCTGGCTTTCCATAGCTCCCACTGCCCACCTCTCTCACAGTGTTTGCACTGTGTGCAGTCCTGGAATCCCTTTTTATGTGACTGTCTCTCTTCACAGATTGTAAGATTTTAGGGAGCAGAGGCCCTTTGGCATGTGCAAAGTGGGTACTAAAAAAGGTTTCTGAACTACTCTCCTGAAATGATTTCTGATTTTCTGAAAGATTTGTTTGAAGACTGAAAAGAAACAGTTGAGACTTGATATTTTGCTGTTCATAGAAGTGCTATGACCTTAGGATACCATGTGATGAAGATGCTAAGCATCTTTGAAATGCTCTTTGCTTGGCTGTTGTTTCTCAGGTTCTACTTGGCCTTGCGATACTGTGGAAGGGGCTTGGGTGTGCCTCCCAGGTCCACGACATTACATGAGCAAGTCCCTTTACCTCCCTGGGCGTCAGTTTGCTTATCAGAAAAAAATTAAGAAAGAAAACCCATGACATTAGGTCATTAGAAGAATTCAGTGAAGTAACGTGTAAAAGTGTGTGGTCCGGTGCTTAATAAATGTGCGTTTTCTCTCTCCATGCGTTTCCTTGGGGACAAGTGTAATACTGCCAAATGAAATGGTTTTGTTCCTGAAGCGAGAAATGTATGCTCCTGAGAAGTGAGGGCAGAAAGGGTCAGTGTGCACAGAAGTCCCTGGCAGGCTACCCTTGAATTTTAAGAGGATGTCCCAATGGGCACTCGTGTAGTTCATCAGACAGAGTTGGCAGGCTGCCCCATCTAAAAGTTGGCTAGGCTGTGGCCTGAAAAGGTGCTCTTGCTGCTACTTGGAATTTCCGGGAGCAGACCTGCAGCCCCTCAGCGTGGAGGGCCCCCGGGGAAGGGTGTGGTGGTTCTGCTGTGTGTGCTGCTTCCTCATCGCTGATACAAACTAGGGAGGTTAGGGTCCTTGCTGGGCCTTTCTGTGGTAAGACTTAAAGTGGAATGTGTTTGATTTGGGATTAAGGGCATGATGCATTTTTTTAAAAAATTAAAGACTAGAAAAGTCTTTCTTCATAATTTTTTATCATCATGACCTGGATAATTTGTACATTTAGATAGCCATGCATAATAGAATATCCTGAACCTAGTAGAACATTCTGGGCTTTTGATGCTGCATCTAGACCTCCACGCTCTCAGGCCTTTTGTCAGTGGAGCTGGGGAGGGTTGGTTCTGGCATTTTATTGGGACTGAGGGAGAAAGTGCTCCTTCTCTTCGGAGAGACACTGGAAGAGAAACAGGCTGGGTCACAGAGGCAGCCCGGGGTGGAAGTTGGGTCTCTTGGGTTTGTTCTTCACTAGTGGCCTTGGGCCTTGGCCTCTGTGAGACTTAGTTTCCTTGTCTTTAAAATGGGCTTAAAAATTGCTCCTCACAGGGTTGTTGGTTTTGTTTTAGCTGAGCTGATACGTACAAAAGCATGGAGCCTGGTGCCGGGCACATGGTGAGTGCTCAGGACATCTTAGTTTTCTTCTTGGAGACATTTTTACACCTATATTTTTAAACAGTGAAAACTGAAGAAAATGCTGTAATATTAACATTTCAATCCTTTAGCTGTTTAAAAACATTAGCGAGAACAGTTTGGGTAAAAGCAGGATAGTCTGACATTTGGGCAAGTACTGTTAAGCCTGCTCTGAATGTGGTTTTTTGGCAGTGTGTCTCTTTACCATCAGGGTCTCTGGCCCATGTTGAACTCCCTTCTGAACAGCTTGATCAGCCTTGCCCTGGGACCCAGGGCCATTTGTCTTGCCCAGTGTGGTCATGGACTCTTTTTAAAAATCTGATTTTATGTATTACCCACCATTTGTGTAAATGCGTTTTTAATAGATTTGGGGGACTTTGAGCTAGAGAAATAAGCCCTGTTTGTCCTGGTGCCTCATTCCTCCCTGATCTCTTTGAAAACTGAAAAGAAATACTGCACAAGATTAGGTACAGGAAACCCAGTGGATGGGTTCTTTAGCAAAATGGAAGGAAATTTCTTTGGAACATTTAGAAAGTCAGAGTCTCACAGCCTGCTTTGCTCCCCACTGCTTATAGAACAAGATCCAATTTGCTTGCTTTGTGGGGCTCACAGGCCCTCTGTGGCCAGCTCCGTCTCTAGACGTTGATTGTAAGCTCCTGTTCCTCTGGTCCCGCCAGCGCCCCCGCCCTTGTGGGACACTCAGAGGCGGCCAGACATGCACCGGGGCTTATTCCTTTGTTCAGGCCTCGTCTTCTGCGGGCAGTGCCTTTGCCTCCCTTCCTCCGCCTGATGGTAGTCATCTTTCAAGGTTTAGTTCAAGGATTATCTCCTCCATAAAGCCTTTGCCTAAAGCCATCCAGGTAGAGATAGCTACATCTTCTGTATAAATTATGAATCCTTTCAGCAGTGTTTGCTTACTTTAATGTATTGGTCAGATTTGATTTTTGTGCTGTTTTCCCAAATTTTTGCCATTTGAATGTATGAAGAATGAGGATAAATGTGATGTCCTTGCTCCACAATTCTTCAGCCTCTATCACTTTTCTTTTTCCTTGTCAAAGTAAGATCTTTTTTCTCCGAAGATACACCATGGATCATACTTCCAGAACATGCTATATGCTGTTTCCTTCTCTAAACTTCTCTCTGTCACAATTATGTGTGACGGATACTGATGCATAAATATTTCTTTAGGTTTCAGAAAGGAAAGACAGTAACTAAAATTTATTGATGTATCTTATGTTTGCCAAGCATTAATGAACTCTCTTCATGTAAAATTGGAAAAACCGTAAGATTTTGTTCAGTAGTCTTGTGTTCAAATCCTTTATTTTGCAGGTAATTGAGTGACTTTGATTGAGCCCTGTTTCCTCTTCTCGAACTTGGGTTGGTGATACAATCCTCTCATATATGGATCAAGTAGAAAGTGCAGGAATGCGATTTGTGAGCAGGAAAGCTCTCTGCAGACGCAAGTTCTTACGGAAGTTTGAGGGGTCTTCCTCTCATTCTTTAGAAGTCACTTTGCTATTCCCTGCCAGGTGTGACTTGTTTGTACGTTACATTGAGTGAACTGAACTAAGTTCCGTCACTCTCTCAAGAAATGCTGAATGAAAGGTAACTTTATTTATTTTTTAATTCATGTTATCCACAGCCAGCCAGCCTCAGAGCTGGAAAATCGAAGAGTGGTAATTATGTTGACCCAGACGTCTCTTTGCTCCTCATGTTAGCAGATCATTGTCTCACTTCTCAGAATAGTGAACCAGTTATGGAGCTGGTGAACTCTGGTGTGGAAAGGAATCTTTCACTGTGAGGTTACTGTAGACACGATGGTGGGTTTCCCCCTTTTTCTTTCTCTCTCTCTCTTTTTTTTAACCAGATAAAATACCAAATCACTGTTAGAAGGTATGTGTTTTGCTTGGTCTCTCTGTGCCCAAGTTTTATCATTTGGAAAGTAAAGAGTTGGTCGTTCTTCTTCATTTCACAAAGATGTAAGTGCCGGGATTGGTACTAATTGCCCAGATGTAGAGATAGAAGATACATCTCTTACTTTAGACTGCTAGCCTAGTGGGGGAGACAGGCAAGTGTTACCATGGTTAACCTCCTTCCCCATGAGGAGCTCTGACACCTGTGCTGGGCTGCTGCCACTCCCACGGACCCTTCTCGCCCGCTCAGGCTCTGCTTCCCCATCCTCGGCATTCCCTCCAGCCTGACACCTGCTCCTGTGCCCCCCTGGCTCTGCCCTCCCTAATGGCTTCAGGACTGAATTGCTGGGGGCAGGAGGGAAAGGGGAAGGAAGCTTTTTCATCTGTTTTGATCAATAAATAAGCTTGCCCTTAGGATTTGGGTCCAGCATGAACTGGGCTCACCCAAAAATGATTTTAAGTGAGTGTGATGCAGGTACTTTTGCCTTATTTCATAAAACATTTGAGGCTGCTCATATAAATATTTTGTTAAAAATAGTTAAAGTCACTTGAGAGAAAGGAAAGTTAGGGTGGGACAGGGAAATGAAGTGATAGTGCACAGAAATCATGAGATCCTCCATAGTGGCTGGAGATGGGGAAAAGCGAGATTCTGATATAGCTGGCTAGCTAGCTAACTAACTAACTAACTAACAAACAAGTAAAGAAGGGAATGTGTTTGGTTAGAGGATTCTCTGTCTCATAAACAGACACGTACTGGTCACACTGGAGAAATACACCTCTTCGTGGTAATGAGGCTTAAGGAAACTCCTCTTGTGGATTCTCTTAAAGAGAACAT